TACACACACACACACACACACACACACACACACATATATATATATATATATATATATATATATATATATATATATATATATATATATATATATATATATACGATACGAACACTTACCCGTCAGTAGCAACCGATTGACCGAGAAATAGGACTTCAGCTCCTGAATCAGACGGCAATTCAGGTTCTTTAAACGGTGGCCCTCGTCTACGACGATATACTTCCACCTGGGGAATGCCCAAGATGTAGAATATCAGACAAGTAGATATGCACACAAACAAGAGACTCAAGAACAATGTCCTGAGATGTGATAGCCCGTAAATAGATACGCATATTACCCAGAGATTGATGACTATTGGCCCGTAGGTACGTGCATCAATGAGTACAGAAACTGATACATATAGTCCTATGATTGTCTTCTGAGACAACTTCATGCCATGGGTGCGGAGTATCAGCCAGAGAGATACATGCATAGACTGAAGGACTGAAAACTTGTGACCCTAGACACTATAGATACCGAAAGGGACACTGACAAGGCCTGCGAGCAGCCACTACGAGCCATGGTAGTCTCTCGCGTTCAGGTACACTCAGTAGATGCTGACACACACTCAACGTAAAGTAGGTACGATAATACCTCACCTTTCTCAGAAGACGATACATACGAAAGTCAACCAATCAACCAAATCCCCCTACCTGATATGCTGGAAGAACTTGCGATCGTTCATACAGATTTCATACGACGTGACAACTACAGTGTCCTTTCGCATGTTGCTGATTCGTCCCCCGTTGAGTCCGTTCTGTGTAAATACGGATAGGCCGAGTGTCCGAAATGAGCTATCCAAGACAGCCTTAAAATAACTATACAAAGACTATATGACACGCATGGCGATTTAAATAGAAACCGTTAGATACTGTACATACGGGGAGGGCGAGTGTCAGAAATGATCTACCAAGGACAGTCTTCACATAACTATACCAAGAATATAAGATGTACACTGCGATATAAACAAGACACCGATACATACAAGGCCTTTTCATACAGAAATAGGAATTTGCCTCTCACAGCCACTAAAACTGCAGAAATTATAAGCGAAGTCTGCACAACCAGTCGCGCACGATGATGTGGTCTTGCGATTCCTGCTCCCGTTGTGCGAGTTTGTACCGTTTCTGTTCTCAAAAAGATCATGTACAAGTACAGCGGAAGAACGAAGCACTCCTAAAATTTGGTCCGTGTGCGCAGAGTGGACGAGACATCGATTGCGGCGGCGCGGGGGGGGGGGTTTGCACCTAACCCAACCACTCACCTTCCAAATGAGACGCTTTGGAATACAACGCCACACACGCAGATGCGAGCTTGAATCTGCAACCACATATATAGTTGCTATGAAACATATTAAATGTATTCCACATTTGTATTATCAGATCTCTGATGAAGTGTTTGAACAATAGCACCAGTCACTGAGACTTACTTGCTCGCGAATTTCCTCCCTATCCTCAGGTCGTCCGTGGTAAAGTATAGCATTGATCGTAGGGGCGAATCGGTTGAACTCGTTGACCCAGTTCTGCAGCGTGCTCAGGGGCGTCACCACATAGAACGGGCCGTCAACACCCATCTCCAGCAGATAGCAGATGAACGCGATGCACTGAAGCGTCTTACCTAAGCCCTGCGCACGCGGATAGGTTGATAGTACAGAAGTTCATCAGAAATATGTATTTACATATGTATATATGTTGCATATATATGCATATATATATAGATATATACATATACATATACACATGTGTATATGCATATGTATATAGATATATACATACATAATATAAAATATATATGTATAAGTACAAATGTATATACATAGTTGCTCGATGTATACTAACATGTACGACACATATGTCTTCTATACGGCAGTTTACAATAGATTCACAAGCTCTACGCAAATGAGTTATTTGAAATTGAGCTACAACCCATACAAGCGATTCATTCGCTTCCAACAAAATTCACTACACATGGCTTCAAATCTGAACGAACATTGGTGAGATGTAGAATCAACTTGGACCTTGCATAAGCAAAATCCCTGCATGTGTTGAAGGCTACATTATCGCGACGTACGCTATTGTGCGCATATATATATATATATATATATATATATATATATATATTACTATACACACACACACACACACACACACACA